TACAGTGTTGTGTCAGCTTCTGGTGTACAGCATAGTGATGCAGCTATATATATATATGTGTATATATATATGTGTGTATATATATATATATATATATACATATATATATATTCCTTTTCATATTCTTTTCATTACAGGTTATTACAAGACATTGGATATAGTTCCCTGGCATATAAATAGGACCTAGTTGTTTATCTATTTTGGATATAGTAGTTTGTATCTGCTAATCCCAACTCCTCCCCCTCTTTCACCTTGGTAACCATAAATTTATTTTCTATGTCTGTGAGTCTGTTCTGTTTCGTAAAGTAGTTCATTTGTATCATTTTTTAGATTCCACATATAAGTTATATCATATGATATTCGTCTTTCTCTGTCTGACTGACTTCATTTAGTATAATCATCTCTAGGTCCATTCTTGTTGCTGCAAATGGCATTTCATTAGTTTTTATGGCCATGTAACATTTCCCTGTGTGTGTGTGTGTGTGTGTGTGTGTGTGTGTCTGGGGTGACTTGACTCTGACTCATGGACATCGCAGCCTAGAAAGCTGTTTTCTGGAGAATAGAGCACAGGTAGGTTTGAAGACAGCGAAAACTTCAGCTGAGTTCCTCATGGCTTTATAGTTTCTGGCTCTGGGCCTTTCTGAAGACCGGCTTACTTTCTGCTTATATCGGATTCTATGAGACACCCTCTATCTTAATAATTCATTTTTGAACTCTATTATTAGGGTATACAGATTACTTTTCAGTGGCTTCGCAGCACTGTGTCAGACATTTCAAAGCCTGCATTTTTTCTTTATTAGTTGCTGTATCTTTTGATGCACTGTCAGCTGGATGTACTGAGATGCTATGACTTTTTCCAGCACCGCCTCTGATTGGGCCTCCATGGCGGGGGCTGGCTCTCGTCCCTTACGGATGTCTGCTAAGTGTAAGTTCAACTGATAAAGGAAACACGCCAACAAGCACAGGGAAAGGCTGAAACTGGGGGGACAGATTGCTACTCTGAGGGCTTCAGCTCTGCCCTAATTCTGGTCAAATAGGATTAACACTCTTAACCCCTTACTGTCCAAAAAAGAAAGTCAGAGTGAAAAGTATGCATCCACTATTTCTAACGACTTCTTTTCTTTGACTTTTTTTTTTAATTGAAGTACAGTCAGTTTACAAGGTTGTATCATTTTCTGGTGTACAGCACAATGCTTCAGTCATACATGAATAAACATGTATTAATTTTCATATTCTTTTTCACTGTAAGTCACTAACAGATACCAAATATAATTCCCTGTGCTATACAGTATAAACTTGTTTATCTATTTTATATAGACCAGTCAGTATCTGCAAACTCCTAATTTATCCCTTCCTACCCTTTTCCCCTCTGGTAACCATAAGTTTGTTTTCTATGTCCGTGAGTCTGTTTCTGTTTTTTAAATAAGTTCATTCGTCATTCCACATTTGAGTGATATCATACGGTATTTTTCTTTCTATTTCTGGCTTACTTCACTTAGAATGACATTCTCCAGGGCCATCTATGTTGCTGCAAATGGCATTATTTTATTCTTTTTTATGGCTGAGTAGTATTCTATTGTATAAATATACCACAACTTCTTTATCCAGTCATCTGTTGATGGATGTTTAGGTTGTATCCATGTCTTGGCTACTGTAAATAGTGCTGCTATGAACATTGGGATACAGGTGTCTTTTTGAATTAAGGTTCCCTTTGGATATATGCCCAGGAGTGGGATTGCTGGGTCATATGGTAAGTCTATTTTTAGTCTTTTGAGAAATCTCCATGCTGTTTTCCACCATGGCTGTACCAAACTGCATCCCCACCACCAGTGTAGGAGGGTTCCCTTTTCTCCACACCCTCTGCAGCATTCTAACGACTTTTGTTGAAGAAAGAAGCAGGTGATGCTGTGAAACTGTAAGCAGCCTAGTCTCATATTTGGTCAGCTCTCATGCCTTCAGGACATTGTTACTGATTGGATTTTTATTTCCATCTCCTGGGCCGATCTGTGTTAGGCAAGTCAAAGTTGGTTTTTCATGCAGGGGTCTGTAAGGGTTTGCATTAGGTTCCTTTCTTTCTGCCTGCTGCCCAGTGTCCCACTGCTGTCATTCCTGAGTCTAGAACCTTGTCCCCTTTCACCGGGATGACTCCTGATTCGGTGATTCCTCATTCCTTCAGGACAACTTCCTTGGCCCCTTCGGGATTGTATTCCCATAGCATCCTTGATTTCCCTGCCACCTGTGCAGGACTAGTTTGCCTATGGGTCCACCAGGGTCTGTGCCCTACACCCAGCCTGTCCTTGGCAAATAGTATGTCCTTCATAGATCTATGCTGATAGACTGGCTTAGTGAGTGAATGCCCATCAAAAAAATTAATGATTTGATTCCAACATTAGTAACTTAATAGAAAGAAGGCTCCTTTGCCCCTTTCTGGAAGAACATGGCCTGCCTGCATCAGACCCCAGCTGGGGAAGTAGAGAGAAGGCCTGCCTTTCAATGAAGCTTGAAGTATTGACCAGAATATAAGGAATCCACCCAATAGAATGCGCAGGTCTACCCACTGCCTGTCAGGCCCTGCCGCCCTCCCTGCCTGCCTGCCACCACTCTGCTTCTGCACCAGCCTAGCCACACTTGTCTTCTGTCTGTTCCTCCAACATATCATTTGCCTTCCTCCTTCAGGGCCTTCGCCCTGCTGTTTCCTTTAGCAGGAATGCCACCGATTTGGAGTTCTGCAGAGCTGGCGTTTCTCACTTAGGTGGCAACTCAAATCTGAGCATTTCTCATTGGGCATTTCTCCTTGGAGTATTTCTCTCTCCCTTCCCAAATGTGAGTAGCTCCCCCATCCCTCAGATGACTGTTTTCCTTTTTGCCCTTATGCCTTTCTGTAAGTTTATCTGTTCACTGGTTCATGATCTGTCTTCGACTGATAAACAGCTTCCAGTCTGTCTCGTTCAAGACTATACTTTCTAGAGTGCCTGGTTCTTGGGAGGAACTAGCATTTGATAATTAATAATGATTACATGTTTGATGAGTAAGTGGATAAAAGAATAATCTTTGATACAAATTATTTAATCCCAAAGAAAGTTAGTGATGGAGTCTCAGGCATTACTGTGGAATAAACTTTTGGAGTGTTTTCTTCCCGATTTGTTCATACTAGGCAATGCTAAGCCCTTCCCCTCCCCCCTCTCCTCAACCCCTCCCTTCTTCTTCCCCTTCCTCCTCCCTATCCCCACTCCTCCTTCTTCTTTTCATATTTTAAACATAATTAGATCTCAGTACTGAGTTACTTGCTCAGAATACTCTGAACATATACTTTCAGACTACCATTTAGAATTCCATTTATTACGAGGGTTCTGAAAAAAAATCTTTGTTAGGTAATGAGGTTACCCTGTCCTTCAAAGAGCTTTACCTTAAAGATTTGAAAAAAAAATTTTTAAAAGGTGTGTTGCCTTCTTCATGTCAGGTTTCTTGTCATTATGTCTCTCGAAGTTCACGTTTGCCTTAACATCCCTTTCCTTCCTTACATTTGATTTTTGTTGAGTTCTGGTTCTTCCCAAAACTATAAATCTCACAGAGTTGTTGGGTGAAGTGCTTTATTTCAAGCAGCCTGTTTCAGAACCTCCAGGGAATGACAAAAAGGACAAATAAAGAGTAAAGCACCTAGAGAGAGCTGAGCAAGTGTGGTCCTCAGGTGAGACGTGCTTCAGCCCCTTTCTAAACTGGCTGATGTGGTCTGAGAACTCCAATGACTCTAATTTTGGGTGGTTGGTCATTATCCCTACTCCCTCCACCTCTCTCAGCTTTCACTCTTTAAGGTCTAAATCTCATCTCCAAGTGCCGTCACACTCCTTTCTTAAAATTCCCTCCATTAGCTGAGTTTTCCAATTTACTTTCCAAAGTTCCTTCTGTAGCCTACTCTTTTAGTTAAAGCTTTGTTTATTTTGTACTTTGGCTTCTAACTCTCGCTATGAATCTGTTTACAGGGTAGGTCATTGTGCAGTATGTGTTGGATAAATAATTGTTACATGGAAAGAATATTAAGGTTCATCAAGACAGCTCAGGCATATATATTTATACACTTCTTTTAGACAACAGAAAGGGGCTGATATCAGAATGTACTTTTTTGATGGCTCTCCCTCAGATGTTGCGTTTATTACTATATTTTCTTCTTTTTTGGACAGATTAGTCCCCAAATACTCTCAAGATTTGCCTTTACCATTCTCTGCACCTTATTCATTTTCTATTAATTGTTTTCTAATTATGAAAGTAATAGACGTTCAATACGGAACACAGAAAGGTAATCAAAATACAGCATAATGTCTCCGGAGGTGAAAACATTTTACACCTTTTCTTTGCATATTCCAATTTCCCTCTGAATCTTATGCAGCATTTAAAAAAATACACAAGAGACCGCTCTAAATCCAAACGCAGATCAGCTGTTCTTCACCAAGTTCACAAGGAAATCAAAGACTCTCGGTGGAATAAGGAA